TATAGAAATTCGGAAAGGTCTATTACGTATGAAATTTAACCAGGAATATTAAACTAACCCCCAAAAAATTTTAACTAGAATCTTCTAAAATTATATTGGTACACACGTAAAAATCTCACAACTTGTCAACAAGATGTGTTTGCAGCAGGCTCGTAGCAAGCTGGTCAACAAGTTGTAACAATGCTGTTGTCTTATCAAGTTGCTACAAGGTTGTCACTCACAACTTGTTGACAAATTGATGAATTGCAGAACGATAACAAGTTGTTCGAACAACTTGTAACAAGACTGTGGAGTTCAGGAACTTTAATTGTAGCAAGTTGTCAACAAGCTGGGAACAAGCAGTGCAAAGACATCCTGATGACAAGTTGTTGGAACAGCATTAGTACAAGTCTGCCGGAGGTTTCTTACAACTTGTGCGTTTTACGTGTGTAGGCGGGGTGTGGAGTGAATATTAGCCACGGAAATAACCGACACAATATGATTCCTATACTAACATTAATGCGATACTTGGTAAAACCGAACAAAAACTTCTCAACCTGTTATAGAAACATCTAAAATCTTGTTTTTCTCCAAATATTTCGCGGTCTGCTTGTCCATTCTTGAAAATATTGTTCCGCGGAAACAAAACTTGTTTTCAGGTGTAACGCCAAATTTCGGACTTGCGAAATATCAGTAATAGTTGTAGAACTGCCCATGCGCAGACGATGCGCATGCATGCATCAATGACGTTGGCTCATAAACTTCGCAACTCAACAGACAACACGTGTATTTGTAAAGTCATTTTGTTGGATTATATTTTATATACATGGATTTTCAAATTCTACAATTAATTTGATTGACGCTATAGTACTGGTTGTGAACGTTACCATTCAGCGATAGTAAAGCTTGAATCTAAAATCTGCGAATGGAAAAGGTTAATCGATAAGCGTTCTTAATTAGTGATATAAACTAGCTCCAGTTTCAAAGGTGATTCTATATGATTATAATATTATAAGCACCGATTCGCTATAGACCTTCGCACTATTTAGTAAGCATTCAAGAATGAATTTGTGTGTACTTTGAGTATTGGCCGCTTAGAATCAGCAATGTCTATATTAGAAACACTTAACGATACTATTGGTAACATCGTATACGGACTTAAAAATCGTTTCGACCGACGCATGCAAACGTCATGTATTTCGGAGCCACGACCACACCGATTAGCTTTGAAATTTAAAACGTTTGTAAATTGAAACTTGGCGTTGTCGTTTTGAAATATTTAACAAATTATTAAAAACTAACATCATAATTATTTATATAAACTATAAAAAACAGTTTCCGCCGACTGATTTCGATTCCTGAGACTGTGGTTAAATTTGTTATTTTAACAGTTGTGCCTCAGTTCCTCACCAGCATTTTTCAATCTCTGCAATTTGCTTGTTTTGCAGGCACATAATTCACATGTCTACAAGATCTGCAGAAGCTGTTTCATCAAAACTATATTATATAGTACAAAAATATCTCACTTAGCATGTTTTGCCAAAAGTTACGATTAACACTGAGTAATTTTACAAAATACAAAACAATGGACACTCCGAAAACGGTTAACATTGTAATTCGACGTTTCGAATTAAAATGTTAACCGTTTTCGGAGCAGTGGCGTAATTACTATGGGCTCAGACCGGGAAAACCCGGGGGCCCCCAACCCCAATGGGCCAAATGGGGGCCCCCAGGCTTAGGCGATAGAGCAAAACATTGGCCATGGCCTCTGATATGTTACAATGTTATTTTCTGACCATCAGAATTCTGTAAAATCTCTCTCCAAAGTCCAGGAAATGGCATTTCAGAGAGTCTAGATTCAAAAATTTTCCGGATGAGCATGCCCTGGACTCCCTAGAAAACTTTGTGCATATACGATGCTCGACTCGTGCCTTTGGCACTTCTACTAGGGGGCCTTCGAAAATTTTGAACCGGGGGCCCCCTGATATAACGTTACGCCACTGTTTCGGAGTGTCTATTGTTTTGTATTAAGCATGTCTCCTTGCCGGTTGTTTTTGGCTGATGATAAGGTGTTAAGGTACTATAAGGATATCATCAAAAACACATTTTTTTTCCGAGGGAAAATTTGTGTCTACCATTCGCATCTCACAAAATTTTCTTTCTGCGGAAAATTGGCCTTAAGAACTCGTAATAATGTTAGAAATGCTAATGCTTTAAGCTAAATCTATGCAAAATGCTTAACAAAACAATTTGGTAAATTAAGCACGGCCTTGGAATGGAATATTTTTTTGTATTTCATCTCAAACCTGTAGAACATTTTTGCAGTTTTGAAAAGATTTACCTAAAGTACTTTCTCAGGTCCATGAACTTACTATAGAATAATGTTGATTGGTGTTAAGTTCCATGTTTATTGACTCCTTTGTGCATATCAAGCAAACCTTTGAAACCAAGGAAAATCATGTTATGTCTATGCTAAACACCTGGATTGAGTAGCCAATGAAGAGATACAGTATAACTGATAAATGAAAGTTTTGTATTGGATCATTTGTACTGGGAGTCAGATTAGTTTAGACCAAGAAAGTTATGTGGTTGTCGGACCTGCTCTGATTCTCTCTACTTGCCCAGTTTATAGTTGATTTAACAGTCTACATTTTATTTAATGAGAAATAATATTGAACTCAGCATGTTAGAAAGTATTAGTTCCCGTAAAAATATTTCAGGTCTAAGACATGCTTAATTAAAGTAAACGAAATCGGGTCACAACACACGGACTACCCTGGAACCAGAGGGGATTTATTTTCGCCTGTTTTGAATAACCCTCTGGTGAAATTGGTGTAGTTTTTGGGTTCACATTCCACACATAACTTTCAAGAATGGAAGCAAACAGTTGATTGGCTGCTGACTATAGGTTCGATAGACTACTTTTTCTGATTGGATATTGTGTTGGAAACTGTGTTGTTTTTATCGTATTTGGTTTAATTATTAATTAGGGTTAACTATTTAGGGACATTAGAATATTTAGTTTGATTGACATTTAATTATCACGTGGTAGATTTGAGCGGGATATAGAGTGTTGTTGACCTCCGTGTGCGAAGGAGTGATCAAATTTCGAACTGTGACTGTGATTTTAATATAAAGTTTATTTACCTATTCTTTTGTGTATTTTATTTTGTGATCGTGTGGGACTTCTTGAAAGGATCGAACCCCTTTTCCCACAATTGTAAACATCATAGCCTGTTCGCAGGCGTTTCGTGTTTTGATTGAATTGAAACATTTGAATTTTGATATGTCTATATTATTAAATAAACGAAGAAAAGTTGAAAGAAGCAGTTTTATAGGCTGCATTAATAGATAGATTAATAAATTTCCTGAATTAAAAGTTTAACGGAGCATCAATACCGCGCCTTGTCCAATATGATTCACATTAAAGATGTATTTACATCTTGCTATCGGTTATGGGAAGAGTTTATTAATATTCCAAAGTTCTAACACCGAGCCGTAGCACGACGACTTGGCAAAAGCTACAATTTTCTGGAGAAACCCATCTTAATAGTTATTTGCGAATTGAACTCTTTCATTGACTCTCACATCCGTGAACTAAGAAAGCGTGGATGCCGTGTTACTTCACTGTCAAACGAAGAGGACGAGAAAGCAATACTTGATGGAGAGTTTACTGTACATTCGCATTTTGTAATCCCGAGTCTATTATTCGAAATGCGAAATGGAGAGGAATGGTTTCATTTGAAATCTACAAGACAAACTTGCTTGCTTTTGTATTAACAGACAAAGTTCACGTCGGCCCAAAGAGGTGTGTTTAATAAATTTATAAAATACAGATTTTATTGAATGTATATTGCAGGATTAAATTGAAAGTATATTGCAAGATTAAAGTTAATCAATATAAATATATACTTATATTAAATTGAATAGATGTGATGTTTTAAATTGAATGAAATTCAGGAGAATGAATAATGCTACAAATGGGCAGGCATACACTGGACAGTAAACATGCGATAAAACCACTGAGCTATACTTATATATCTGGAGATCGTGCTCTCGACGAAAGTGTGTGGCCAAAAACATGGCGGATTTGACGTCACAATCGACCTATTTTCATGGCAGTTTCCACTGACCCGTGGCTCGAATGTTCGTGGGCGACAAAGTTCAACCCCCCCTGGATTTTACAGTGATTTTGTATGTTTATATTAGTTAATCGACAGAGAGTATATTTTTGATTTTCGTCCTTTTGAAAATACAGTATTATTCTAACTGCGCGTATAAATCAATAAAGACTGAAAGCCATTAATAAAAAAAGACATGAATGGAGCTTGACGGCCACAAGAACAAAGCATGTAAGTCATTGAAATGATTTATCAATTCTTGTTGTATTGTGAATTTGTGTTGCAACTGACTATCAAGATTATTCTTTAAAACACGAGTATTATAACAATCCCCAGCAAGTAAAATTAAGCAAATATATCTTGTTGAAAACCGTACTGCTATAAATTTCCCTGAGTGACAAAGGTTTTTTTAGAGATTTTAATACCAGTTTATTCTATTAGTAAATTGTGGGGAAAAGCAACTCTTTGGAATATAAAGCACTTATATCACCATTAAAGTTTTTGACACCTGTATGTATTCCGCTCTCAGGTATGAATTTATCAAGAAAATATGGGATATCTGTACTAAGTACCAGGTGGCAATGAAGAAAGTCAAGTGTATTTCTTTATAATGGTCTTCCTTGTAAAAGGCAATGGCACTATTTCATTGAACATTCAAGGAACAATCGCCTTTTAAAACAAATATGCACATTTTTATGCTCGAGTTACAATGTTTGATTTTGATATCTGCATTTTATGCGATTCATACCTTATTTTTAAGTGTTTCTCAAATATTGATTCAATACATTACCTCGGGCTGACCAATTCATTCCATCAAGATATTTGCTGTGTTGGTGTAATACATGTACTCAGGTGAATAAGATGCTTGTGTGATGTTACGTACTCTGAGTGGATATCCACACTGGGCAGGCGTGAAAAATATGCCTGGCCACAGTGGGATTTGAACCTACAACCTTTGGAATACTGGCCCAATGCTCTGCCAACTGAGCTATACAGTCGGGGCAGTTCGAGTATGCGATATTTCGGAACTGAGTCTAGTTCCTTCGATATCAGTGTAATCTAATAACCATGATATTTGTGAATATGATGCTTGTGTGATGTTACTCTGGGTGCATATCCACACCGGGCAAGCTTGAAAAATATGCCAAGCCACATTGGGATTCAAACTGACCTGACCGCATAGTTCAGTTGACAGAGCAATGGGCTAGTATGCCAAAGATCGTAGGTTCAAATCCCACTGTGGCCAGGCATATTTTTCAAGCCTGCCCGGTGTGGATATACACTCAGAGTAACATCACACAAGCATCTCATTTCATCACGTTCCTCCAGATATTCATACACTTCCTGTGAAAGAGCCAATTCCAAATATTTAATCATTTCTGGTCACTTCCTTTCTATTTATGATTGGTTAGTTGCACAAACAACAAAGGTGATTGGTGCATTCAAACCATTTAACAGGAAGTTTACAATTATACTAGGAAGTGTATGAATATC